GCTTTGTTATAGAATAATCCACACTGGTGGAAAGCTCATTGTTGTTGTTGTTGTTGTTGTTGTGGTTGTTGTTGTTGTTGTTGCTGCTGCTGTTTTCGATGATGACAACAATGACAATGGTGATAATTATGACAATAATCATGTCAGGAATTATTGGTACTATCACTGGAACCTACATTACTAATCACTAGGCATGTGCAAGAATGACGTTTTCAAGCCAAGAAAATATTAACATGGGAATTTGGTAACATTTTGAGAATCAAGGCAAAAAATTAAAATTTTCTTTAGTACACCAACCTTTTACCACATTATTTTATAACATTAACCATTTTTTCAGTGTATAATCATACTCATATTTATCCAAATGCAAGACAGCTCTACAATATAAAATATCTGCCCAGAAAATTAATTTTATGAATTAATTTCATAATCTTATTGCAACAGTGTGTCTCCTTCTTGACATACTAAACACAGGGCAGTGAGAAAAACTGCTTATGTTATTCTCCCACAGATGTAAGACCTACCCTTGACCAGCATAGTGGCTGGTTTGGAATGAACTGGTTTGAATCCAGTAGTGTTCACCAGACAGCTGTAGTTTCCGTAGTCATCCAGCTCAACCTCTGAGATGACAAGTGTGCCATTAGACTTGTTCATCTTAATGCGAGATCCATCTTCACTTATCAGTTTGCCATTCTTCTTCCACAGAACCACTGTGACAGGATGTGCCATAGCATGGAACTGACATGCTAGGGATGCAAATGCTCCCTCTTCTACTGTCATGCTTGGTGGGTCTGACACAATGTTAGGAGGAGCTGTGAACATATTAGGCAGTGCTTTCAGTGACAGTTTCTACACATATCAGTGGCTGCTACAGATGTTGCATGCCTATCAACCTCATATCTGACACAGCCTGACAATGTTGGTCAATGTCTATCATTACATGCTTGTTATATTCATAACAAACGGGACTGCAAAATACAAGAAAAGTAATAGTTAGTTTGAAACATGTTTATTGTGAGTTCAAAAGTCATCACCTAAACAGGACTTCAAATGTTCAGAGCTACTTACTGGCCACAACAAGTCTGAAGGAAGCCATCTTGGTACCAGCCATATTCTCTGCCACGCAGGTGTAATCTCCAGAGTCATCCATAGCTCTGGCAGCCTCTATGATGAGTCGTGTCTCATCCACTCTTACTGGCCCACTATCAGAAACAGTGTGGCCACGCGGGTCAAGCCACCAGACTCGTACTCGGGGGTTACCAGCTACTGGTATGCATGTCAGTTCAAACTCTGCCTTCTCTGGAACAATGCGGGTCCTGCTCTCTGGCAGAGGTGGCTCAAATGAACTGCCTGTTAGTTCATCTAGATCTTGGGAAAACAACAATGCAGTTGTCAGTCCTATGGGTCCCATTGCTGGTAAGGGTTCTTTTCATTCATACTTTCACTCAAGCCAAGTTTTACAACAGATCTCTCTCTCAAACTCTACTGAACATACTGCAACATGAGCACTGAAGATTTTAACCAATTCAACCATACAGACCAAATATGAGTTTATAGGAAATACGTTTCTGCATGGTGACTAACTTATGGAGATATCACACTCCTTGATGTGAATATGCTAAGAAATATTTAATGAGCAAGTCTCTTATTTTATGATGTATGCAACAGAACTCAATGGTGTTGGCTGGTTTATACTTTGATTTGACACTGTATATGCACATCCAAAAGAGTACTGTACAACTCACAAGCAATATTCAGTTCTGCGGTATAGGTCTGAGGCACTTGGTTTGAGTCCCCTGGAATTCCCACACATGAATAAAAGCCTTCATCTGAAGCTTTCACATTGTGGATCAGTAGGGAGCCATTAGGAAACAAAGTCATCCTGAAACAGTAAGTACAGGCATAAACTTGAGTCTGACCTTCCTGAATGGTGGAGCATGGGTTCATATCAGAACAGGGAAAAGCTGAGAAACCCAAGTTTCTATGACACTACTTGAAATAAATGTTCACTCTGGTCCCTCTCAAGAATGAAGGGATTAGGGCTTATTTAGCAGGAAAGAAGAAATCTTAATTTGGGGAAATGAAGACCATGAGCCAGTGTTCTTTATCCACCGTTATTCCAACAAATATATCACAAGACTCATTGCCTTATTTTAATTTCTTATACTTCCAATACAAAAAATTGAATTTGGGTTTGAGTGCTGTTCAATACAACAGTAGATTTTCTCATCACTTCCAGAACACCTATGGGACCTACCCACCTCATGCTTATTGGATTGCTGGGGGACGTCATCCTCGGTGGCTAGCTTCAGCAGGGGGACAATGATCCTATGAAGATTGTATTGTTCATAGTCTTGTGTATCATTTTGTATATTTTTAAGAGCTGTTGACTTGTAGTGTTTTAGATGGCTTAAACTGACTTGTCCAATTGTACTTGTGTTTAACAGTTTATGGATGTATATAAATTACGAATTATGAACACCTATGGGGAATACCCACCTCATGCCTATTGATTGGAGGTACACATTAAAGCTACTCACTATATTCACACATTAACTGTTTCTTGTTCTTAAATTATGTTCTTCAATATAAGATATAAGTATACTTTTAATGTGGCATGTATGGTTGCCAATACCACACTGTGAGTCAAATTGGGAAATGTGTTTCTGACCAACAACTGACAAGTCAGAAGATCTGTGAGTGTGGTTGTACATTAGCACTGGATTAATTCAGCGAAAACATGAGGAGGAAAATTATTCCTAGTAAGGTAAGGTAAAGTAAAGCTATCCCTGTAACAGGGCGTGAAAGCCTATAGGGTTGTGTGACATTGGGGCTCCACCATTTTTTTGAGTCAGCTAAAAGATGGCAGTAAGGTTGTCAGCCTTATGCAATGGCCGCCCTTTACCCCCCCCCCCCGGAAATTTCCTGGTACTCATTTCTGTTAGAGGTTGAGTCAACCCTGGGGCCATAGTGCGGCTAGAAGTATTAGGTAAACTGAAAACATTCAATAACCTCATCGGGATTGAAACCCATTACCTTCTGGCTTGTAGCATAGTGCCTCAATGAACTACACTACTGTGTGCCCCTAATCCTTCCTACTAACCACAAAAAGTTAAAAACATTCAGTAATCACTATAGAATTTATTTACTCATAAAGAATGTTATACAGCACTCTTTGGCAGGTTAACTGTTTATACAGATGACATTATTAGGTGTCAACTGCGGGGATTCCTTTGTGCAACTACAGTTCAGATCTTCTGGATTTGTTATGTGACAAGAAAACATGACAGCACAATGCAATAGTATATCCCCCATTTCTACACATGATTAGAAACTTGACTCACGCAGCAACAAATTATTGCATAATAGTCTGAGTTTGGTATAACCAGACAACTACATGGGCTAATTAAAATGTGTTTAATTAAAACCAATACCAATAAAGTTTGTATATTGTTACAAAAGTCCAAGAAAATCTAGAAGAACTGGAAATGAATGGAACACATCAGCTGCTGGCCTACAGTGGTAATTTATTAAGCATAAATATAAATACCACAAATAAGAACAAACTATATTATGTGATAGAAGAGGGGTGTGCAAGCTATGGCCCATGGCAGCTTTTTATCCAGCTCATGGAGCTATTGTGAAAATTACCTATAACATTACTTTTAATTTGTATCAATACTTTTTCATATTAGAATTAAATATTTTGTCAGCAACATCAAACAGCACCATCTGTTGCTCTAATGTGGTAAGTAATGGTATTCATTATGAATATTACAATGTAGAGTGTAGACCCCTTGCTAGGTAGTGACCACAAGAAAAGAACAATTGTTAGGCAGCAGCCACATGCCCACAGACTGGCTGATTAGCAATTATGTGGGTACAGCAACAGACACACATGAAAAAATAGAAGAGCTTTGATTTCTGTAGGTCTTTGCCAGTGGTTACAAACTGGATGAAGTTTAGAGCTTAATTCAGTTGTGGAACATGTGCTAGATGGGTCTGCAGAGGTCAGTGTTAAAATTTGTTACCAGGAAACGACTAGTGAAGACTGAGAAGACTTTATGTGTGTTGTAGCTACAGTTATATTCAAAGTGTGTAATTTAATTACTGTGAAGAGAAGACTAGGAGGTTGGTGTGAGGTGGCCATCAGCCTGGGAGTTAGTCAGAGAACTGCAGTTCAGTCATTGAGGGCCTTTGAAGTTAGAAGCTGGTAATGGAGGCTTGGGGATAGTTCTGGAACCTAGAGTAAGGGCAATATCTGCTATTGGGAGCCATTCCCAGGCAACAGGTAGTGGAGACTGAGGACACTATTCAGTGTGTGACAGTAATCTGCAAAGTGCAGTTAAATTTGTGGTCAATAATTTGAGTCACTAATCCAAATCCCATCTATAGTCACTCTATCATGTAACAATATACACGGTGCAAGCCAAAAGTTCCCGAAATCTATATAAATAAAAGTGTAAATGTTCGTTTGTTCAGGATCCCAAATCTCCGAAAGTTCTTCACTGATTGCTTCGAAATTTTGACACAATGTTGCGTTCGAATGTGCGCATGTTTTTATATACCTATATTGGAATTTGGAATTCAGAAGAGTCACCCCTATGGAAACGCTAGAACAGACCGTTGCATAGGAAGTAACAATAGCAATACTGTATCGAATCTCCATGGTTATGACGAATACACAGAGCGTTCCCACAGAGACAACGCAATAACAATGGGTCATTGCGCAGGAATCGCGGAAACAACAAAGCAGCGTTTCCGTGGTTATGACAAAGGCTCATTTGCATAGCAGCGGCTGAGGGCATAAAAGAGGGTTGAATTCAATCACCCAGTCAGTCTTGGAATAGCTGCCGCTGAAGAAGGTTGGAACCTAGACGCCAAGAGATACAGAAGTATTGGCCGAGAGACTGTGTAACCAGTAACTGTAATACTGCAAGTGGCGATAATTGTAAAGTGTGCAAGTGAATTACAATAAAGATTTGCTATAATTAATACAGTGTAAAGTTATTTTTAGCGTTACATACCCAAACACGCTACTTGCATTACTGACGCGTGCAACATGTCACATCCACATCAAATTCGAGCATTGTTTGCAATCACATTGACCGCCTGCTCTCCTTCATCTCCAACAGAGTTATGGGAGAAATATAAATCGCACATGGCTGAAGATATTTTCCGTCAAATATGCAAGGAAAATTCCAATACGAACATGGATTTCACAGCAGAAATCTGCAACGAAGCACTGATAATGATTGAAGATTTGTGCTTAGAAATCGCGAACTAAGTTCTCAATCAATTGGGAATGCCATTACCAAATCGATCTGCTGCTGCTTCGTTCAATGTAAAATTGCGTCGTGAACAAAATTACAACATGGGTGATCTTTTGTTGTATGTGTAATCAAATATTCCTAAGCTAATGCTTGAGCAAAAAGGCATTTACGATCAAATAATGCAAACTGTCAATAATGGGGTTGCAGAATTCTTCTTCTTAGATGCGCCAGGAGGAACTGGTGAAACGTTCCTAATTAGATTGATTCTGGCAGCAATTCGATCCCAAAATGACATAGCCTTAGCTGTTGCGTCATCCAGAATAGCTGCGATATTGCTACCAGGTGCAAGAACTGCTCATTCCGCTTTGAAATTGCCATTGAACATACAATTCATTGAAACTCCCAAGTGCAACATTTCCAAAGGATCGGGCATGGGAAGGGTATTGCAGAAATGCAAACTTATTGTTTGGGATGAATGCACAATGGCGCACAAAAAATCGCTCGAGGCTCTTCATCGATCATTGCAAGATTTGCGTGGAAACATCAGACCATTTGGGAACGCATTAATATTGCTTGCAGGAGATTTCAGGCAAACATTACCTGTAATTCCTCGATCGACACAGCAGACGAAATAAATGCTTGCCTGAAATACTCTACTTTGTGGCGCCATGTAAAGACGTTAAAATGAACTACAAATATGCGTGTCCAGCTGCAAAACGATCGATCAGCTGAGATATTCTTACACCAATTGCTAGAAATTGGGAACAGAAAGGTGCTGGTTGATCTGACCTCAGGACGAATTTTGTTGCCTCATAACTTCTGCAATTTAGTGACGTCAAAAGAACTGGTTGAAAAAGTATTTCCCAATATTCAAACCAATTATAAGAAACATGATTGGCTGAGTGAACGAGCTATTCTTGCGGCCAAGAACAAAGACGTCTACGAACTTAACAATATCCTTCAGTCTAACATTCACTGCGAGGCAGTCATATACAAGTCCGTCGACACTGTTGTGGAAGCAGATGAAGCGGTTAATTATCCAACAGAATTTTTGAATTCACTTGATCTGCCACAGCAACGCGTGGCCGGGTACAGCTAGTATATTAATAAAAACTATTACGTCTTACCTGGATCTTATTCTGCACCATCACCTTCAAAGCAGTTCCCTTGGGAGCGCATACACCGATCCCAGCATTTCTGCCACTTTTGAAATGAATCCTGGAAGGCTTTCTTTGTTAGGGAGTTTAGTACTGTCTGTGTTTCCACTTGAATTTCTTCAACTGCATCAAATCTTCGTCCCATCAATTTGATTTTGATCTTGGGGAAGAGAAAGAAGTTGCATGGAGCTAAGTCTGGCGAGTATGGTGGGTGGAGAACGAATGCCATCTTGCTTTTAGCCGAATATTCCTGCACAATGTAAGCCGTACGTGGTCAGGCGTTGTCATGGTGGAGTACCCAGTCATTCGTGCCCCACTTCTCTGGACGTTTTCTCCTTATGTCCTCCCTCAACCGCCCAACCGCCTTAGAATATCATGATAGAACTCTTTATTGACTGTCTGACCAGGAGGGACACACTCCTTATGAACAATCCCATCAATATTGTGACATG